GCTACATGTGCCCTGACATGATATGTTCTATGACATGTTGCTGAATTCAAAAAAAAAAAAAAAAAGGCCAGTTACAGGCTGATGTATACAATGTTCAAAGTACACAATGTAACGGCAGGAGTGTGAAGTGCTATCCAAGGATACACACTGACCTAACAACAGCTGTTACCTTAGGGGAGGATAAAGGGGGTTAAAGTAACTCAAGCTTCTCTGCAATGCTTCCATTCACTGTATTGGTTATGTCATTTATGCAATTAAAAGTTCATTTTTAAAAACACGCACAAAAAATTGTAAGGGCATTTACTGCTCTGGGCTGTTACAAGCTGATCTAATCTTATATTTTTTCAAAGACAAAACATTTCTATTTATTAAATGTTCTGTGTAATTTCATCCCAATAAATTTATTAATAGAAGAATAATTTAGAACAAGAAATGACCAAGAAAAAGGCCAACTTAATGGTAGGCACAAGTTCAGAAATATTGATAGTAATGTTGAATGTTAATTTCCAGGATTTAAATGGAAAGATCAGACCACAGAAACACTGCAAATTCAATAGAAAAGATATTAATCACATGAGTCTGAACTAGTGAAATATAATTTTTTGACTTTAGACTAAAACATTACTGACTTTCTTTGATGCTTTGATTTCCATATTAAAGGATGTTTGTTTTCCCTTAAACTGTTGATAGGTGCATCTACCTACTATTTGAACTGAATCCTAACCTCTTTCCTGGCTTTAAGTTTTAAGCAAATTTCTCTTAACATTTTTTTTTTTTGAGAGATTTCTGCTATAGGGCACACACACTTGCCATAAAGACAGAGAGAGACAGCGAGATAGACAGCAAGAAATCACCCCCTGAGGGGGATGGTCACGCTGCAATCCCTTCTCCATTCTCCTCTTGGGATCTTGGGCAGGCACACACATGCACCTGGCATGAGTTTAAGCCACCGGGTCTGGGACTCAAACCACAGTTGGCTACATGAGAGTCCAGCAACATAGCCATTATGCCATCTGCTAGTCCCTCTCTTAACATTTTTAAAAATTTTTATCTATTAATACTAAAATTGTTCTCTTCAAATTAAAAAATGCATTAGAACAATACCTATTAATACCTATCTAATGACTGTAAGAAGTTATCTAGCCCCAGTGAGGTGTGACTTTATAGTATGTTCACTTTACTCACTGAGGTTTATACCTAAAGTTAGACATGTATTCATATATATATTCATATATCACCTGTGCTTGCTATTGAAAATTTTTCCCTTATAAGATCTTTAGTGAATCAATAAAATGTGTGTTGGGGGGAAGGCATGGAAAACAACCGCAGATACCAGAAGCAGCGAAGGATAACAGGGGAACTGGCAGAGGATGAGAGGCAGGGAATCAAGGGGGGAAAAAAGGCAAAATATGTAAGAAACAAGAAATAGAAAATTATTTGTTGATGATAACAAGTATGGTAATATCCTTGATTGAGTCAATATATAATGTATTCTGGATGGAAAATCTCATTTTGTATACTGTATTGATGTACAGTGAATGACTGTAAATAAATAAATTCAATAAATAAATAAATGTAAAAAAGGAATAATTTGATATTGTATCTATGTGATTTGAGCCAAATTTGATTACTTTTATCTTTTTGAAATTTACATTTAATCCATGTGTTTTACAGCATACAATAGGGGTTCTCAAAGCATAAATGCATAACATGTCAAGCAAGTCAAAGGTGTTACCATACACAACTTTCCATTCTTATGTCTGTTAAATATTTTATCTTTTTTCTTTTTGAGAGATTTTTTACTATAGAGCACATGCACTCAATGAATAGAGAGAGGCTGAAAGCAAGAACTGACCCCCTGGGAGCATGGCCACACCACAGCCTCTTCTCCTGCATTCTCCTCAGGATTTTGGGCACACATGCTTACGTGCCTGGCTTGAGTTTTAAGTTGCAGGGTCTGGGATTCAAACCACAGTCGGCCATGTGGGAGTCCAGCAACGTAACCACTACTCCATCTGCTGGTTGCTCTATTTTTGAACACCAGTGTTATGCTGATCTTTAGTGCATGAGTTGCCAATTTTCTTTTTCTTATTTTGATGTTGTTTCGGCTACAAGAGAGGTGCACCCACAAAGAGACAGGAAGAAGAGAAGGCAAGTGAGAAATTATCACCAAGGCATGACAGCCATGCTGTAATTAATTCTCCATTCTCCTCTTGGGATTTTGGGCACATGTGTGCACCTGGCCTGTTTTTCAAGTCTCGGTGTCCGGGACTTGAACTGCACAGTTAGCCATGTGGTATCCAGCTGCCTTAACCACCACCACGCCACCTGGCTGGCTCTGAATTGCTAATTTTTTAAATTGTATTACCCTTCTGCTCAAAAGTCCCTATGATGGGGGGCCAGCAGGTGGCATGGTGGTTGAGGTGCTAACTCCCACATGGCCAATCATGGTTCAAGTCCCAGACCTGGTGGCTTGCTTTCTCACTCTCCCCCTCTCTCTGGTCAAATTAAAGAATAATAATGGTAATAAAAAATAAAATAATAATTCTTTTTTAAAAGAATTTTTAAAATTGATTTTGTTTATTCATTTATTTTATTTTAATTTGACCAGAGGAAGTCCAGGACTCAAACCAAGGTCAGCCATGTGGAAATCCAGCACTCTTAACTACCATGCCACCTGCTGCCCTCCCTCCCTTTTTTAAAGAATGTTTAAATTTAACTTTAAAATAAATAATTTTTTAAAGGCTCTCCAACACCTTGGGAATAAAACCAGCTCCCTTAGATGGCCCCAGACAGGTATGCTGGGATTCTCCACACCACTGCCCTGCAGTACTGCCCTGAAGCACCTTGGGAGGCCTGCCCGACCTGCTGTAGTTCTGCAATGCTCTGGTGCTTCTCTCCCTACTCAAATCCTACTCAGGGGCCAAGGCCCAGCTGGCACTCTCCACATCTGTGGTCAGAGCCTTACTGACTGACTCGGAGTCCCCAGGCTCAGCCTGTCCCTGGAGATCACACGCGACACTGGTACCACCTTTAAACCATAACTGCTGCTGAAGAGTGAAATCATTTACCTCATGAATTATTTACTTTACTTAGTCATTTCTCACAACAGTCCTGTAAGTAGCTCCTATAAGTATTATGCCTTTTTAGTTGAGTAGAAGGCAAGCTCAGGCAGCTTAAGGGCCCTCCCCAAAGGCCCACGACTAGTGAGTGGTGGAGCCATTAGTCACAGAATGGCCTGTTCGCCTGTCAGAGGTCCTGAACCCAGGCTGTGGTTGGCAGCATCTGGACAGCCCTGGCACAATGAATGTGGTAAAGCAAGTGGTTAATAATAGCACTGGCAAGCTTAAATGCCAGCCTTGCCACCTTTTTTAATTTTATTATTATTATTTTTTTTCACATTAAGTGTGCTTACCAGAGAGAGACAAAGAGAGAGAAAGTGAAAAGACATGAGTAGAGACTAGGACTGGCTGGTTCACCGTGAGGTGCCAGAATAAATACGAATGAAGTGAGTGCCCACAAGGGCACTTGAAATCTTGAAATGCCAGTACCACCGACTCTATACAATGACAGTAGCGAACATCTGGCCCTCTGCCAGGCCCTTTATCTTTCTTTTCTTTTTTTAAATAGAGTTTTTTTTTTCTACAGGGTATGTAGATATGTGTGTTCACTGGGGAGACAGAGAAGATGGCCACGTGGCAATCCCTTCTCGGTTTTCTCAGGATTTGGGGCATGCACGCATCATGCCCTGTGTGTTTCAAGCCTCTGGGTCTGGGACTGAAAACAAAGAATGCCAAGTGGGAGTCCAGCAAAGTAACCACTACTCCCTCTGCTGTTCCCTGTCAGGCCCTGTGCTTCACCAGGCCTGTTCCACGTGTACCAGAACCATTCTAGGCAGCAGGCGCCTTGCAGTTACTGTTGGTATAGGCATGAGAAAAACCTGTGGCTCAGAGGAGGGAAGTGACTTACCCAAGGTCACACAGCAAATAAAGAGGCTGGCTTGAGGGCCCATCTTGACCCATGTCCATCACCCTCTGTAACCTATCTCACTTCTGCTCTGTTCCACTTTTCAGGGACAGAAACAGAATGTGGGGCCAGCCAAGTGGCATGGTGGTTAAGGCAGCTGGATCCCACATGCCCAACTGAACAGTTCAAATCCCTGCCCTGGGAGTTTGGAAAACACTCTGGGTGCATGTGCTCGGCCCAAATCCCCAGGGGAGAATGGAGAAGAAGGGATTATGGTGTGGTCATCCCCTTTGGGAGATGTCTCTCTTTCTCTCCCTCTGTCTCTTTCCAACAAGCACACTACAGCAAACCAAAAAAAGAAAGAAAGAAAGAAAGAAAGAAAGAAAGAAAGAAAGAAAGAAAGAAAGAGAATGTGGCCTGTGAGATGTCTTTCTCAGTGTCCCTCAGTAAATCAGCAGTGCGTGTTCTCTGGGACCCCAGAAAGGTCCACCTGTGTGCCCCTCCACCTGGTCACCGTGGGCGGGTCTCTGCAGGCCTGATTTGGCACCTCGTCCAATCGTGCCAGTAGGCGCAGCCTGGAAGGTACTACTGGGCACAGCCTGGCGGAGGAGGCTGGTGAAGAGGGCAGCCACTCCTCCCAGGGGTCCATGAGGCACTTAGGCAGACCATGGCAGTCCCCCATGTTGTGGGGCTCCTGGGCGTGCATCCTTGCGGTGGACGGGGCAGGGGTGCTCCCGGGGCAGGGGTGCGGGTGGGAGCACGGTGAGAAGCTTAGCAGCTCCATCCAGATGCGAATTGTCCCTCCCACACTTCCCGGGCTGCAGGGGCCCCCATTAGAGCCCCGAGGAGTCAGAATCCACACCTCCGCAAATGGGCCCGCTTTCCCAGGGCCCCCCTGCCCAGACCTTCCCTGGGCTCTGTGGGTTTTGACACCTCTCTGTAACCTGGCAGGGGGCACCTCGCACCTTTAGTCGGGATAAAAGCTCAGGCCTGGAAGTGGCTGGTCCAGCCTCCCAGAGCCCGCAGCCCCGGCCATGGCCCAGTCGCCTGCTCCTCAAAGCCTCCTTGGCCACGACCCCTGGATCTTCTCCCAGGGCTGGAGCTGGGCAGGCCACTCAGACTCCACGTCCCCGGCCTCCTCCTCCTCGG